TGAAAAAAAAACCGGGAAAAATGTCCTTTGGAAAAAAAAAACAAAAGGCGAAATTTTGGGGAAAAAAAAAAAAAAAAAAAAAAAAAAAAAACAGTATGGATGAAAACTAAAACAATAAAATTCCTGTGGATACACCTTCCACACTGTTAAACATGGCAACATAATGCTGAGAAAAAAATTAAATATTAAAATATTTTTAAAAAAATATTAAAAGAAAAAGAATGAAATAAAAAAATGAAACTTTGGTCTCTCAATGTGCAAAGTTGATAAAGACAAAACAGTGAAGACTCTGTGAACTGCACACCCGTACATTTCAGAATTTTATTTGCAAATAATAAAAAAAGAATAACATGATATTATCCTTCTCTTCCTAATTACACTCTAAATATGGCAGTCTTTTTCAAAATCAGAATAAAACACATGGGAATTTTGGGTTCTCGCATGACAAAAAGTGAAAGCTAAGGGGTATGATTTTGTTTGAAATGCACAGACAATTTTTTTTTTCTTTGTTTTCAAATTTAACCCAAATGTAATGCCTTATAGATATACAACCCACCTGGTAATTCAACCTGATTTTGAGTAGTTAACTTCTTGTTCACAGCACTTTGAAAGCTCTGAATACCTTTGAGGTTTTCCATTACAAGAAGAGCTGCATAAGGTCAAAGCTGGTAAGAGCTACACTGGCCTGCATAACACAGATGTGATCACCTTTTCTCATATTTCTCAGAAATCCACACCTTGCATTTACAATGAAGCACTTAGGGCTGCATATGTTAAAAAAAAAAAAAAACACTATGCAGTGACTTGACAGAAGGGTCTATAATTGAAGACCAAAAAAAAAAAAAAAACCCTAAACTGTTAAGTAAGTGCTGAAATAGTGCCTTTGGGCTTAGGTCTGGGGATTAATAAACAGACATGGAAAAAATGACAGTTGCAATAATCTTACTATAAAAGTAGGTCAGGGCGGGGGGAAAAAAAAATGCCGCAGGGACTTGCCTGATTCCAGTGCAGAGGGCATTTGTGTGTAGCGCCCGAGCTGAAAATTATGCTTGGATTTGAGTGGCGAAGCTGCTGGTAAAATAGAGCAGGGGATTACGCCTGGACCACATGTCCTCCGCAGCACATTGGCTTCTTCTCAGTGCTGCCGCATCAAGAGAGAGGTTTTAATCTACATAGAAAAGTTGGCAATTTAACAAGCGAGCAGTATGTGCATATTTATAGGTGAAAGCATCCGCCATGTCAGAAGGAAAACGCGTACCTGCTGAGTCAGGCACGTCATTTCGCTGCTTCAAAAGCTGGTAGTTCTTGAGTTTGAACAGCACTGCTGTCCATCAGCTGGACAATCCCTCACTCCTCACATCCCCCTTTCTCAAGGTTTGTCCTTCTTTTTTCCTTTCTCAATGTCATCCAAATGTATTGGATGAATTTTACTGTGAATTTTGTCTAATATACACAGAGACAAAACTACATATAAAGGCTCTATTATAGATGTATTCCAAGTAACGTTCCAAATAATGTGTCACCGCACATTAAGCGCACAAGAACCTGATTGTGTCAGAGAACCTGACACAATTCTGACTGGTTCTTTGACCAGTTCAGCGATCAGAATTGGTAGGGATTATCGAAACTGATTGGTTTCTTGGTGACGACCCGACATTTAAACATAGTCAATAATTTTTTAGTAAGTTTAAAGGCAGAACTGTTCCATAAGATTAATGTCAACCTTCTGTTTTCTTTCCAAAACCAGATTTGATGTGTAAATTGGGTTAATTGATGCCCACCTGTGTTCACATTTCAACAATCATACACTGGAAGATCCTGGAAAACCAGTGTTATTTTTCACAGTGATGCAAAATTTAGATCTTCAGTTGACTGAAACGGGTGGTGAAGGTGAAATGAATGCACACCTTTTAAGCACTACTACTTGTAGTTGCGCAGGTGAGGCTTTCAAACCTAAAGTCTCCACCTTCCAGGAATAGTCAGATTCTGCCAGTGGGTAAAGGTGAAATGCATAAAGTAGATGGGTTATTATGAAAGACTGCTGTAGAAGACTTTTTTTCATCGCTTGACTTGTTCTATGCCTTGCGTATGTTATTTTTTCTCTTCATTAAGCATTTTTTGACTGGTGTGGTAAAGGTTAATTTGTGCTGACAGACAGGAGCCAAGGCTTGAACATTACCGTCAGCAGCTGAGAGGAAAACTCTCAAAGGAGGATTGCCAGAACTGGAGGAACAAATTTATAGTTGGGTCCTTGAAGAACAGTTTGCCAATGAAAGTAGTACTTAGGTTTCCATGCCCTGGTAGTTGCTACAGAGATGAATAAAGATGACTTTGGATTTGGGTCTTCATGGTGTTATTGCTTCATGCAACGGAACCACCTCTCTATCACCCCAGGTTTACACAGCATGCATCTCCGCTCTGCTGCGCACCTCACTGGAAGATGGTCCTGATTTAGAACACAGACATTGGTGTGTCCCTAACTGTCAGCATACTTCCAAGTCTAGGTTGACAGTTTCCATGAGTTTACGGAAAAGCAACAGAATATGCCATCACTGTCAAAATACTATCAAAATAGACGATGTCCCCTTCACATTTGATCATTTCGAAATAAATGTGACATAGATGTTTTTTCCTTCTTCACAGTGCATTTTTTTGGCAGGTGCGACTCATAGACTGGAAAATACAATACATTGATATTCTTCGACATTCACGCCAAGGACAACTGGGTGTAAATTTTTGACTTATAATGTGCATAACTTGACTTCTGTCATTTTCTCCTTCCGGATCTCACGTGCTCAGACGACAACTACCTGAACAGACCATTGATTCTGAAACTGCAGCAGGAATAAATGTATAAAAATAACTTGCCAGATGCTGAATTGACTCAGTGGTTCAGTCCCTGATTCATGCTGGGATGTGCGACCGATGTCATCCTCAGGTCAGACCCTGCTGAGCATTTTGGCCATGAGCAAAGAGGCCTTATGCTTTTTTTTTTTGTCTTGCTGTTAAAATACCGTTCAGTCTACAACAATATGTATCGCACAAGTGAGCATTCCTCTGAGAAACTACAAAGTTGGCACAAATTATGAAACCACAAACATTGGAGTGAAGGTGGAAATGTTAAAGCGGAGGCAAAAACACAACATGGGTCTGAAAACGGGCATCTTGAGATCCACAAACCTCACAACTCCATAAATCCTCAAGAGCATGGATTTATGTTTCCTTTCAAGGGTGTGCGGGAATCTGTGCGATACAAGATGTGAAATATTACAGTGCGATCGCATCAAATGTGAAAAGCTTTATACAGAAACTAACGTGAATCTGGCTCCCTGAGCAGACGGGACAGATGAAAATGTTGGTGTTTCTCTTTACAGGGTTTTTAATGAAAGTAGCTAATTAAATTGGGCATGTCAAGGCGCACATCTTTGCTCCTTACATGATGTTCCAGTGATAAGTGTGGTATGTTTTGCATGTTAGATCCACATGCAAACCCAGCTGTAGTGTGACGCTAACGCAACGCTTCTCTCTGCCTTTCTCTCCTGTTTTTCCTTGCGACAACCACGCAGCAGTCCAGAGAAAACCAGGTGAGTCTCAAGAGGAATTAGTCAGAACTTCAGCTGAAAAATAGTAACAGTTCATGTTGTGCTCTCTTAATTATTTATGTGCTTACCTGTAAAGGCGAGCGAAAAAAAACAAAATCCCAGAAAAACAGCAAGCGAAATGCCAAAGTATGTAGTAAACGACTTCTACAGCTACCTCATGTAAAGTGCTGCCACAGTTAGTCATTTCTGCGCTTTGACTGAAAAAAGAAAAAAAGCTTTCAGATGCACTTTTTTGCAAAGCTTTGATATTTGTGTGGTAGTCATGGTTTGCTGTCATGCAAAGCATGCTTAGTGGCAATATAAGTGTCGTATTGGTGTGCTGACTTTTCTCTCTCTGTACCCCATCTGTTTGGTTTTTTCTCTCTTCAAGAACTCGCACACCTGAAGGCAGACCAAGGTACTCTCTTCTTTTTGTGTTTTAGTCAAGATCTCCATCGTTTTTCCTTCACTCACCTGCTGGCTTAGTTTTGGGGGGGTGGGAGGGATTTACTCTGAGTGCCTCCTACCTGTCGGTGCACATTTTTTGTGCTGGACGTCACCCACCGCAACTGCAGAGAAGTGGTGGGGGACGTTTGCGTGTGTTTTAGAGTGTGTGTGTTGCTAAGGAGGAGCTGCATGACTCCATGGCATGTCCTACGTCTCACCTCCATCTGTATCTCTCTTTCTTTGTACTACATAACTGTGTAATTGTCTCAGTTCCACAGCAAATGTGCACTGACACGGTCCAGAGTTTTTGGGGAGGAAGAAAGAAAATGACTGTAATTTGAGGGCACGGTTTACACTCGGCCGAAAATTCATATTGATGGCACATACAGAATAAGATGTGTCAGCGGCAAGTATAAAGTGAAACGAGTGTTGCTGTTTACAGGGGTTTTATATTCTGTTTGACCAATCTGCTGCTTAATATGTAAACTTAAAGTACCTGCACTGTTACTGGAGTCGCCGAAGGATGAGTGTTTCATCTGGAGCAGAGCTTGTCAAACTTTATAATTACCACTTCTGTAAATACTACAAAGTACTTTAAATAACTCCGTCAAGGGGATTTCAAAACAGAGGTTAAACACGACTTGGGGTTTTGAAGTTTGTCTTTAAAAAAAAAGGATAGAGAAAAAACAAACAGCTTCTATTGTCAACAAATGATTGGTTAAATCAATAATGGTTGAAAGTTTTGGACATAAGTTTCACGAGAAGGTCAGTAGAAGTTAAAACTCCAAGTGGGGAAAGTTGAAGGCATTTCGCCATTACAACCTCAAAATCCAATGTGCCTTGCATGCAGAACTCAATGATGATTGTGGTTTTAAAAAAAATGCTTTTATGGAATTGCATCCAATTAAACCTATTATGCTACCATGTTATATTTTTAGCTTTTTTGAGGTTATTTCTTAAAACAGATTTTCCATTTTCTTGTGCGGAAATAACATCCCCAGGGGTCTGAAGGATAAACAATGGTTATTTTTTTTCAAGACTGCTAAAAAAAACAAGAAAAAAAAAGCTATAATTTCAAGACTGCTAAAAATATCTATAAAAACATTTCTGCGATTTAAAGTTTTTGTAGAAAGACAGAAGTTCTTTCCAACTGGTGGAACACAGATTAATACAACGCTCCCGTGTGCTCTACCTGATGCTGCACATTGCCAGTCAGCTGGCTTAAAGGACGTTCTTAGTTTCCCAAACCCCCCCTTTAGCAAATGATAGGCTACAGATTGCTATTTTGTCCCTTCTCACTTACATTTTGTGTCCCTATGCAAAAAAATTTCATATCAATGAAGCTTATTTATGGAGATACATAGCCTGACTTTTCTTTAATTGAACTTACTTACATTTTTTTTACCTGAAAACTTACTGTTCCTATTCATTTGAGCTCTGATCCTCAGCTGGTTTGGATGACTAAATAAAAAATTAAGGATTATGATCATGACCTCTGGTCAAACCAAAGCAGCTAAGTTACCTCTTAGTGTTAGAGGTGCTTTATTAAGGACACATGAACACATTTTATCAATATCAATATTATGGATGGAATATTACTGTGGTCCAGACCCAGTTGGCACAATGTGGCAACTAGGCTTTATGCAAAGAATACATATAAATAAATATATATAAAAGAAATAGTAAAACTCTGACATGTTTGTGTGCGCTATCCATGCATGTTTTTTCCTCTTCTTTCCCATTTGCATGATTGTCATCAACCCTTTTGCATGCAAGCATTGTTTGGCAGTGTACAGGATTAACACGAGAGCTAAACCCTGCTTTTTATTGTCTCTCTCTCTCTCTCTTGTGCTCTTCCTGGGATCTCTCTTCCTACTTTAACCTCCATGGATTCTTTCTTCAAAATCTGTAGGTAGAAACAAAGGTACAGCAACATTGTTTTTTTTTTCTTACAGCTCTTTCATGTGAGATATGAGAACCGTGTGTGTTTGCGTGTGTTACTTCATCTCTCTGTTAAATTTGTGCTAGCCCCTCGTTAATCATTCATGATGTCTGTTCATTAAATGAAGTCACATGCTCCCATGTAGATCTGTCTTTTTTTTCTTGAGGAAAAAGTAAAATCAAGGGAGCTGCTGTTTTCCAGTTAATGAGGGCTCACATCTACTGTTGCACTGAGTGACTGAAGACGTTTGCTTGCAGATGGCAGAAATGCAGAGTTGGTGCTTGAGACTAAATGATTTTCCCTCATAAATACCAAATTGCAATGTACAATGATGAGAGTGAGCTCTGGACTGGAATGTCTAATGGATTCCAAACACTAGATATTAATAATGGAGCGTGTGCATGCAGATTTAACGTTCATTCATACGTTGCGTGCGCGTTGGAGAAAAAATGACTTCTGAATTTGATCTGACAGTCATTTAAATTGGGCCGTTGTAGCAGTCATTGTGGTTTGCAGCTGTGCATACGTTCCCCCATTATTCTTTTGTCACCACCATGCCGTATGCGTCCTGTTGCCGCGTTGTGTGCGGCAACAGGACGCACACAACGCTGTTTAAAACCTGCGTGTGCGTACATGCCAACCTCGGCTTGTTCGTTTTAAAGAAAGCTCTGTTTCTCTGATGAGCAGGAGTAGTGGGTGGACAGATGCTTATTTTTAAACCTGATGTTTACCGCCACTGCACCTGTTCACACTTCCAGCATACCTAACCATTATGTAGGTATGCCTGATTTTAAGATGAATCACACAGGTTTACATAGTTTGCTTTGTGACGACGCAACGGTTTAATTACATTTTATCAAAGAAGGAAACGGCTTTCTGCTTGTCTTGTAATTTAAGCTGCTTTGTTCTAAAATGTGACAGTCAGTCTGACATGTTGATTAGTGGGAGTTCCTGTTGTTTGGTCCAGAAGGAGTGTTTTCCTGACTGTTCTGAATATTGCATTTTCTTTGAAAAAAAAAAAAAAAAAAGCCTTTCATATATAAATTACAAAACCTCAGCCAATATGAAGGCAAACCTGAGGATCAACCTGAGGAGGTGAAAATTAAGCGTTTCTTTCAGTTTAGGCTCTGTTTGCCCAAACTTTGTCAGCATACATTAGGCTTTTCTATTTGTATCAGAAATTTTCACAAAACCAACATTAAAAAATTTGGACTGGAGATCCATTTCTAATAAGACGTGGTAGCCCAGCAGCATTCCAGATCATATTGAAATAGCTAGACCACTTTAAAAAGCGAGGCTGTTCACAAGGCAACTATAAAAACTAAAGCTGGTTTTGTTTAACCATGTAAAAATTTGTAACAAACTGAATCTTAACCAAAATCTCAAACCCTAAATATGTGTGTTGTTTTATATATATATAAAAACTTTTTGTTTGGAGCTGATAACATAGAGTTACTAGATAGCAGTTAGCTAGCTGGAAAAGCTAACTTAGAAACTTAGAGTAAGCCTTTGGCTATACATTTCATGCTAGCTACATTTCATCCATACAGCCAAATGCTTACTCTGCTTTAGAAAAAAATGATGTGTATGCATGAAAGGATTTGAGTTTTACTTGTAAATCAGTTCAAAACCCCACACAATATCACCTTTCTGGAAAGTCTGTGTTTTGATTTTGTTGAATCACTTTCGCTTCTGATTATCCTTGAAAAAAGTTTCCAAAAAGTTCCTGCCACCTTCAAGTCTGAGCTTTCTGAGCAGCTATCCCGACTTCTCCACGTATCGTGATACACTCCACCAGTTTTTCAATTTCTGTTCACCTTGGACTATGTATTTTTACATTTTTTTGATGTGTTCAAGGTCCCATCTACAAAAGGGGTTACACACTTGATCTTCTGAACATTTCTGGCATTATTCTCATCAATTTTCATTTTTTTTCCTTCTACTTTTTTGACCTCATTATATTAAAGTAACCCAAAAATGTACCCTACACACCACCAGTCAAGTTACCAGAAATTGCACTCTGCCCTTGATTGACTCCAGCCAATGATCTGCACGTGCAATACTGAAGAATGTTTTGTTTTTTATTCTTTATATGAATGAAAACTAACAACACTCACCATTTTTTAAGCTAGGCAAAAAGATGATGATTCACTATACATAAATCATTATATTGCTTTTGTTATTGGCTTACTTTGTAAATTCAATTCAATTAGCATACAAAATGCAAAGTTGCACTTCCTTATAATAGCTCCTTGTTACATTACACACAGTCAAAGTCAGAAAATAGTAACACATTCTTTGCAGATTTTCACTGAATCTCCCTGAGCTAACTGTATTGTCTTCACGTCAGGTTTAAATAATAAAAGAAACTGGGTTAGAACCAAAATAGACGCCCCTACACTTGTCTCACATCAGCATATTAGGTAGCAACATGCTGATCGTTTGTAGTGAGCAGTCGCACAGCGGTTCAGTCATTAGTTTTATTGCATAACATGTCAACAAGGTCCCAGGTTTATTACGTGGTTTCACTTCTTTCACAGTGCGGGTCCATGGGGGTTTCCTCCGTGTGCTCCAGTTTCCTGCAGCTGTCCAAGGACATGCAAATTCAATCCAACAGCAATGGGACTCTAAGTGAATCCTAGGTGTCGATGTTAATGATTCCCCTTCATCTTTATTAAACCTTCAATAACCCTTGAATAGAATGTAGAGTACAAAATATGACTGATCCATAAAATGGGAATTTGAATTAATTACAGGACCTTTGATTGGGTCTAAAATGAGACATTTAAAAAAAAGGGGGGGTGGAGGGGTTGCTGGGGGTGTGCTTTGCTCTCTGTCCAATTAGATTAATGTCTCTGTTGTGTGTAAGTACTATAAATGGCACAGTAGTCAGAGAGAACAATTACTGAGAGAGTTGGGGACAGGAATTAAAAGTGAAATACAGACACAGATTGAGACAGACGGTCAAAAGAGGCAAGAAAAAACATATATAACTAGATGAAGAGGCTATGCAAGAACTTCACCTGTTTCTTTGAGGACACATATTTCTTACAGAAAATATGGGGCACCTTGTCATCCCTGGTCTAAAATCTGGGCCCCATTCTCCAAACTGGCCATGAGCCATCTTAGGAGAAAGGTTTAGTCTGCTGCAATGAAAGAGGACCCCATTGTTTTTGGCCCTGAGATGCAGCTTTCTTCAATGTATAGTTTGCTGATATAGAAAACTTTTTATAAGTCATGGCAGCAAACCAGGGACTTTGCTCCAGTTACCAGCATTGGTCCAGTTAGCATCACATCATGCTAAAGCCTCCTGTTGTTGCCTTCAGGGCTATTTTTGTATGCATTTCCTGATTATGCAACTCTATTTGAGATACATTCTCATGTACAAATTGACCATTTTCTACCAATAAATTCTGGTGGGGAGGAGATGCATGAAACTGAAAATAGAATACACAAGCGAAATACATGTAGAGGACGTAAGTACCAGTTAGTAACATTTATGAGCTGCCTTATTCTTAATCAGATTATATAAATACAGTAAGATCTTTTATCATTAGGTCATTGTGGGATAGAGGTACTTCATGGCAAATCAAAACATGTTGCAGTTTTTTTTTATTACAAGAAATTTTTTATTTTTTTTTTACACACCATATCAAGATCTTCAACAGTTTATGAAGAGAATCTGTTTTGATTTTATTTGTATATTGTAACTTGGGTGCAAAAAGGCCCTTCCGTCAAGACTGAAGAAGTATAGGAGGCATCATATTGTGTGTTTTGAGAGAGCAGCCAGTATTGCACAGTTCTGCAGTCTATGTTCAATAGACAACAGAGACTCTTAATTGCAATACTTCCAAAACACTCTTATTTTAAATCCAGCATTTTTTATGACAGAATTGAGTGTATCAAAAGAAAAGAAAAAACTTAGATGTTTCACTGTTTTTTTCTTTTTTATGTCCTGAATTCAAATTATTTGTCGTTCCAACCTGAACAAATGGTTGACTCGCCTCAATAGAAAATGGTTTCCACTCTAGATGCTTCTGAAACCTATTTTCTAAGAGCTGTTTGCAAAGATTCAGGTGGGCAGTGAACCCCATCTTTATTCTGGTTGTCAATTTTCTTTCTAAAACTAAATGGCTTTCCATGTTGGCAGAGGGTAATCAGATCAATCACCTTGTTAGAGGAAAACCACTTAGCCAACAGAAGGCACAATAACGCGCACTTTTGTCCGCCTTCGTCGAACTACAATTAGTATAGCATTTATGAAGAGTGTTGTCAAATTTTGTTCTGCTGAATAACAAAACTTTGCTCTCAGCAAAGAGAAAAGAACATAACCGATCTGTGTAATCAACATGACCGTCAAATGTCATGAATGTGTACAAAGATTCCCAAACATTTCTCATTTTATCATGCATTTTGCTGGCTTTCTATGTTTTCTGTTTTGTTCTAAACAATGCATACATTTGTTTATTATTTAACATTTAAAAATAAAAAGGTGGTTGCTTGATTTTACCCTTAGGAGTGTAGATGTGGAATATCAATAGGAAATACTATAGAGGAATGTGAATATTTTCATTCTAATGCAATCTGAAGATCTGACAATACAAGTGTCAGATGTGCTAAGATCTTGGAAGCACCTCACCTGTGCCGCCTGTGGCCACCTTCGTTCTGCGAGGCTTTGATGTGATGTGACAAGGTAATGTTCTCAAGGTCTCGGCACAAGTTGGAATTCTGACCAGCTGCCTCCGTACCACCACGCATTAGAGGTGTTACGTAAATTCAGCTGATGGGTTTAATGTGAACAAGATTTTAGCTATTTTCTTCAGGGGGGAAGCTGGGGTTTTCTTCCTTTCAAGAATGAAGGTATCACAAATCACACACGTTTTAAAAAAATAGTGTTTGTTATATATGACTAGTCAATTGCTGTTTTTATACTTAACTCTAACATGATGATACTGACTAAAAAAATAAAACTAAAATGCTTC